GTAGTGGGTTTCTACCAGTTCACCCCAGTTCAGGCAAACCGATAGTGGTGGCAGCGGGAGGCTCCGCCCACCCGCCCGGATGTCATCACGGACGCTCTGCACCTTGATGCACAGAAGTTTCTGCGCACATCCAAAAGTGCTGCATGCAAGCGAAGTGCGTGCACGCACACACTCCCGGTTCTGAACCATTAGCGAAGATAAGTGGAACCCACTACTGGGGGGGGGGGCTCCCTCCCTCCTGATATTACGGAATGGCTTCCCCGTGGAGCTCAGGATCTTTGTGGTCTATAAGAAGCTGTTAAGAATTGAATTGTTTCAGAAAGCTTTCCTCTGATGAGAATCTTGCCACCATTTTTATGTATTTTATTTGAAATTTCTGTCATAGTGTATAAGATTTTACTTTTGTTCTATTGAGAGTGTTTTTTATTCCTACCATAGATTCTTGGTAAATCGCCAATAATCTAATTGGATCCTGGTGGCAAGGAAATAAATAAAGATTGTGAGGAGCACCCTCACACGAGAATCTGAAGTCAGGCATGAAACAGCAAATGCAGAAAGAGTGTCTGTTTGGCCTGGTTAAAAAAAATCAAGATGGTTGATGCAACAATATGATCTAAGCTTCATCAGTTTTTTTTATGTTTGTTGCACCGTAGAGGTTGCCATTTTTGACTTTTTTGGCCACATCCTGCAGACACACTTGAAATGCAGTTTAGCATTAGCAAATATGAATCAGTAGATTCTAAATTAATCCTTCCCCTAAATTCATATATTTGCTAGCGTTGGGTAACTGACCAGAAATGATTCCTCAACTTTTGGTGGATGGCTTAACAAAGAAGCCCAACTGTTAAGCAGCAGGTGAATTTCATGTGAGAGATCATGATGAAATGGATTAAAAATAAATCCTTGTACAGCTCAAACTATCTTTGATCAAAAACGTCTGATAGAAGTCAAAACAAAAGAGGACAACCCACTGATCAAGAAAAATAGTGATGTTTGTTTTTAGCATGGAAAGAGAAAAAAAGGAAAGGAGAATGTTCTGGGCTTAAAGGTAAAGGTAAAGGTTCCCCTCGCACATATGTACTAGTCGTTCCTGACTCTAGGGGGCGGTGCTCATCTCTGTTTCAAAGGCGAAGAGCCAGCGCTGTCTGAAGACGTCTCCATGGTCATGTGGCCGGCATGACTAAATGCCAAAGGCGCACGAAACGCTGTTACTTTCCCACCAAAGGTGGTCCTTATTTTTCTACTTGTATTTTTTACGTGCTTTCAAACTACTAGGTTGGCAGAAGCTGGGACAAGTCATGGGAGCTCACCCCGTTACGCCGCACTAGGGATTCGAACCACTGAACTGCCAACCTTTTGATCGACAAGCTCAGCGTCTTAACTACTGAGCCACTGCATCCATTATGTTCTGGGCTTACTTACGTTAAATTTATATCTCACCTTCTGCCCGAGGAGATTTCTCTCCTCCCCATCCCATTTTCTCTATAATATCAACCCATAAACTGACAACCATTCATTTAGCAATCGTTCAAACTTATAACAGCGCTGAAAATTATAACCAGTCCTCACACTTATGAGCATTGCAGCATCCCCATGGTCAAAATTCGAGTGCCGTTAACTAGCATCTATTTAGGACAGTTGCAGCATCCTGGGGTCATAAGATCGCCATTTGCAACTTTCCCAGCTGGCTTTTGACAAGCAAAGGCAATAGGGAAAGATGGATCCACTTAACAACCACGTGATTCACTTAACAACTGCAGTTGTTTGCTTAACAACTGTGGCAAAAAGGTCGTAAAATCAGGCATGGCTCACTTAATAACTATATTGCTTTGCAATGTAAATTCTGGTTCCAATTGTGACTGTTAAGTTGAGGACTAGCTGTATTGTAGGTTGAGCTTAGATAGTGACCGGCTTCTGTGGCTGAAGGCAGATTTGAATTTTCTAGAATATATAGAATTGTAGAGAGAGTATATAGAGTATATATTTCTAGAATATATAGAATTGTAGAGAGAGTAGATTGTTTCTAATATCTCAGAATATAGATCTATACATCTAATGATCAGAGATTCACAACATATTGAATATGCAGATTCCTGCATTCGTGTTCCTTTCAGATGAATGGCTGATAGTTGTATTTCTCCACCAGGTTTTGAATGTGGGTACAGGATAGAAGTCTTCTTGTAGAGTTTTGATTATCCATTAATGATGAAGGATATTAAAGTGTCTTTTCTTTTGATTCAGAAGAGACCTTATTTCACAAATATCATTGTTATTTGTATTCTTGGTTTTTGATGGTTTTGTGATATATGTGATGACATCTGATCCTTCTCTAAGGCCTCGGAGATTCAAATGCATTGCTCCAAATGTTTGTATCAAAGATGAACATATAATGATTAGTAAGCTTGATGAGCAAGTGAAGCAAATATGCTTTACTCAGTGCTGTCAAAGTCTACTGTACTTTGCTTGTTCTACCGACAGAAACTTAATTTTCTTGATAATTAATTAATCCTAGTTGGACTGCATATTATCAAAGGATGGAATCAAGAAATTATAGGTAATCCTTAATTTACAACAGAGTTAGAACTGGAACTTACATTGCTAAGAGAGGCAGTTGTTAAGTAAGTTGCACTTATGACCTTTTTTTGCCATTAAGTGAATCACCATGGTCAAGTGAACCATGTAGTCATTAAGTGAATCTGTCTTTCCCCCATTGACTTATCTCCACTGTAATTGTCCATCTACATTTTGCTGATGATTCTCTTCCTTTTCCTTCTGCCTTTCCCAGCATTAGAATCTTCTCCAGAGACAGCTGGGAGAGGTTGGGTTTACCAAGAAAATCATATGGATACACTGAAGAGAAGTCTTGATATTGCTGAGAAAGGGAGGAAGAGAAGAAAATAAGGAATACTTGTCCTGTGCAATCCCAATCTCTCCAGATTCAAAATCAAAGCTGTTTCTGAATCTTCATGAGCTGGTTGGAAATTGTCTTCTTAGTTTCTATGCATGGATTCTGCATGTATGGATCAGACCACTTTATAATGTCTTGGTAAGACCACACATGGAATACTGCATCCAGTTTTGCTCACCATAATATAAAAAAGATGTTGAGACTCTTAAAAGAGGGCAGAGAAGAGATGATTAGAGAGTTGGAGGCAGTGGTGGGTTTCTACCGGTTTGCACCAGTTCAGGCGAACCAGTAGTGGTAATTTGGCCTGTGTTGCTGAACTGGCCACACCCCAAACACCAAACTGGTAGCCCGGTCGCTGTTTGCTTGCCCCACCCAGCCGCACGACTGCCAGGAAGCGGCTGTCAAAAAGGCGGCAGGTGGGAGGCTTCTTGCAGTTGCATTAAAAAAGAAAAGGCCTCCTAGCCACCGCCTCTTTGATAGTTGTTTTTGGGGGCCGCAGGCCGCTGAAAACTACCGGAGGTAGATTGGGAGCCTTTTTCTGTTTCGATGCAACTGCAAGAAGTCTCCCAGCCAGCGCCTTTTTGCCAGCTGCTTCCCGGCAGTGGCGGCGGGATGGAGGCTGCTGAAAACTACTGGAAGTAAACTTGCCTTCTGGACTCAGGACCAGCCGCCACGGAAGGAAGATATGCAGCCCGAAAAAAGAGGTGGTGGTGGGGGAGGAAACAGGACTAAGGCTAGGGCCGCTGAAGGAAGGGAAACGGGGCAATGCACGTGACTGGTGAAGGGAGGGCGGGGAGGCATGCAGGAGGAGGCCTTTGATAGATTAGGCCAGGCCTGGGCAGAAAGTAAGTAGATAGGTAGAAATTTTTTTTTAAATCCTACCTTTTTTTGTGGGCGTGGCTAGGTGGGCGTGGCTCATGTGACTGAGTAGCCGTGGCCATGAGTGCTGTCAAATTGGCCATGCCCATTCAGTCACATGCCAACCAAGCCATGCCCACCAAGCAAGCCACACCCACAGAACTGGTAGTAAAAATTTTTGAAACCCACCACTGGTTGGAGGCTAAAACATATAAAGGAATTGGGTGTGTCTAGTCTAATCAAAAGAAGGATTAGGGGTGACATGATAGCAGTATTCCAGTATTTGAGGGGCTGCCAGAAAGAAGAGGCAGTCAATCTGTTCTCCAAAACACCTGAAGGCAGAAGAAGAAGCAACGGATGGAAACTAGTGAAGGAGAGAACCAACCTAGAACTAAGGAGAAAATTTCTGATAGAGCTATTAATCAATGGAATGATTTGCCTCCAGAAGAAGTTGTGATTGCTCCAACACTGGAGATTTTAAAGAAGAGATTGGACAACCATTTGTCTGAAATGGTATATGGTCTTCTGCTTGAGCAGGAGGTTGGACTAAAAGACCTTCAAAGTCTTCCCTTCCAACTCTGTTATTCTAACCATCCCTTCAAATTATGTATATTGGACAGGAATTTATAAATGGTCATTGGCTGGGAATTCTGGATGTTACAAGGATATTATGGTTTAACAATTCTGATCCATAAAAAAAGTTAACACTGATGGTAAATTTTCTCTCCGACAACATGTGGACAATAAACCATATTTTTCAAAGCATTTTTGGAAACATGAGGATGGTACGGATGATAGCTGATCATATTGTAGATTTTAAGATTCTTTTGTATGTTCTCAGATGAGTACATTCCTTTAATGTTTTTTAAATGAAACAATTTGTTGCAAAGCCATTCTCAATTTGAAAACTGAAGTTTTGATTATATTTGACTGGGTAAATGATAGTTTGGAACAACCTGTAATTATACACTGTCACAGGTGACAGTATTACAAGGAAGTAAACTTGTTAGTATCGCAGCAGATATTTTTTAACAAAAATTTCTTTAAAGGGTCATGTTGTGTCCTCTGTGGGAATCTCCTTGGAATATGTCCAGAACACAAGGCAAAAAGAACCACTGGAAACTTCAGAAGTAGCACTATATGCCTGATGTGAAAACTTGTGATGGTAGTAATGGATGAGTAAGGTTTAACTCAATTAACTAAGCTAGCAATCTTAATGTCTTTCTCACTTCAGAGATGTTCAGTGATTTATCTGACCAAGCACTGTAGAAGATCAGGTGACATGTTCTAGAACAGGGGTCTCCAACCATGGCAACTTCAAGGTAAGTAGAACCCACCCCTGCATGACATTATATTTGCTTCTCTAGTCAATCTTCTCCCAGCTGCCTAGTTTATCTCCTTCAATTGTGATGGTTTCACAGTTTGACAATAACACCACCTACACAGTTTAGCAGGAATGACAAAAAGGTGAATTGTGCAAGAAGGCTTATGCTCTCCTACAGCTGCTGCTAAAAAGCCATATTTTCAAAAAACAGGGAATGTTAGGATTAATTATGGAAGGCCTGCCTTCCTTCCTTCCTTCCTTCCTTCCTTCCTTCCTTCCTTCCTTCCTTCCTTCCTTCCCTCCCTCCCTAGACATCTCTGATTCTAAGCCGAAGAGCCAGCACTGTCCAAAAACATCTCCGTGGTCATGTGGCTGGCATGACTAAACACCAAAGGCGCGTGGAGCACTGTTACTTTCCCACCAAAGGTGGTCCCTATTTTTCTACTTGCATTTTTACGTGCTTTCGAACTGCTAGGTTGGCAGAAGCTGGGACAAGTAATGGGAGCTCACCCCGTTACATGGCACTAGGGATTCGAACCACTGAACTGCCGACCTTTCGATCGACAAGCTCAGCTTCTTAACCACTGAGCCACCGCGTCCCCTTCCTTCCTTCCTTCCTCCCTCCCTCCCTCCCTCCCTCTATCATGTGACTAATGGAGATCACAAAGATAGGTTGTATGTTGTGGAACTATCTGCACTTTTCAGAAATAAGCCCTTTCATAGCACAGAATTGTTATTTTGCACAAATAGGGATTTCTCTCTTTGGGCGTGTGCAAAGAGAAAGCACAAGACAAAATTTAACAATCCCCCTCCCCCCCATTCTTTACACTTGGTTTTGAAAACTTTGTCACAGACATCAGATAAAGGATGGTACAAAATGACCTCTTTTTCTCTCTCTCTTCTTTATTGATCCTCTTTCCTTTCCTAAGGGAAACATTTAAGAACGTGATGGACTGTGCTTTAGAAGCATCACAAAGCAACAACGCCAAACGACTATTTGGCTACTCTTTGAGTTTCTTCCCCCCCACCACCTTTCCTGCTCTTTCTGAAATGACCCCCTTTCTTTCTAGCTTGTCTCACTGGACAATTTCTCTGCACTTTTATTTCATAGACCACTCTCTATTGTATCCTCCCTCCCCTTTTAAGCTCTCATTGAGCCTTTTTCTGCTGGCTGTGGTCTGCTTCCAACTCTGTGCTGTTATCGGCACTGCTTACATCTTTGTTATGGGGGACAAAAAAGGTTACCAAAGAAAAGAAGAGAGAAATTCCCAGATCAGTCTGGAGAAGACAGAATCTCGAGAAGGGAAAATAAATGGTTACTACCGTGTTTCCCCGAAAATAAGACCCTGTTATATATTTTTTTGAACCCTGAAATAAGCACTTGGCCTTATTGCCATGTACTCAAAAGCCCGATTGGGCTTATTATCAGGAGATGACTTATTTTGGGGGAAAAGGGTAATGAATTCTTCTCCTGCATTTTACTAATATCCCACGCACGACACTTTCTCACAAAGGTTTTTGCATGGGTTGCCTAAAAAGCATTAATTTTATCCAGACCTCTGTACCTGATCTCCATGGGGATACCAAGACTTGGGAAGGATGAGTTTGTCAGCGTTTGAAAGGCTGAGGGTTGGGCAGGTGCCAGTGGGCCCATTTCACAAAAGTAAGGCCTGGCTTGTTGCATGTGTATGAAGACACCCAGGACCAACAAGATTGCCACTCCTATTCCTAAACAATGGCATTTGAAAGTTCACTTCAAAACGATTTATTAACACAGAGCATAGTGCACTGACAAGCAACATAACAATGGTAATGTACAAGGTAGCTGATGCACAACATAGCAATTAATAGTCAATGAACTGCAATTTGTTAGTTAAATATTTAATAGAAAATTACTTCTGAACAAATTATGGAATGGAAAGATTCCTGTTGGCTCCTTTAGACAGCCTAATCAAATTTCATTTTGGCTTGGCTAGGTTACCGATCATACAACAAAAGTTCTGTTCTGCATTAGAGTTTGGTGGCAGTTCTACCTTGAGGGCACTCAAGTCTATTCTTGGCTTAGTGATCCCCCCCCTTCTTTATATTTGCAAGATTAGACAGCCATTTTTCCAGAATTGCATAGGGTCTCTTGCTTGATAGGGGGTTGGACTAGAGGACCTCCCAGTTCCCTTCCAATGCTGTTTTTCTGTAGTCCCAGATGGCAGCAATATTCTTGTGTCAGGCTTTTGAAGGCAAAAGTTGCCTTATTTGTGCCAATCATTGTGAAAAGCAGAATAATTTAAAAAATGCATCCAGAGAATTTGTTGATTCAGTGTTCTCTGGAGAGGAAGTGTTGGTCTGCAACAACATGGGGGAAGCTGGTAGTTCTCTGGAAGTTGCGGGGACAAGGTGATGACCAGGAGCTCATGTTTGTATGGAGATTCTCTTGGCATCTGCATCTCCTGGCTTCATTTATTTACATATAGATTCTTTTGGTGCTCATTAAATCAAATGAGAAGGTGATATACTGCAAAGAGAAAATATAGACCCTTGTTTAGTTGGAGAGCTACCTTGCAAGATTCAGAAAAGGATTTATTTTTATTTATATCCCACCTTTATTGTTTTTATAAACAATACAAGGCAGTGACCGTATCTAATTCTCCTTCCTCCTCCCATTTTTTCCAAAACAACAACCCTATGAAGTGGATTGGGCTAAGAGAGAGAGAGAGTGATTGGACCAAGATCAACTAATAGGCTTTTGTGCCTAAGGTGGGCCTAGAAGTCACAGGCTCCTGGTGATTGGCCCCAAGTCATCCAATGTTTCATGCTTATGGTGAGACTATAACTCACAGTCTCCTGGTGATTGGTCCAAAGCCACCTCATCAGCTTTCATGCTTAAGGCAATTAGAACACACTGTTTCCCAGTTTCTTGCCGGTGTCTTAACCAGAACTACCTTGCAAAATTCAGAAAAAGAGAGCAAATATTTTGTTCATATGTTAGTTCAAAAGTGCAAACCTTTTTTTTCCACTGGGTGCTGATAATGCTTCTGGGTGCAGTTCAAGATGTTGGTCACTATCTTTAAAACTTTATGGCATGGATCCAGTCCAGGATAGCTATGGAAACGTTTTTCCCCAATGAGATTGGCCTGCCCACTCCTGCTGGGAGAAGGGGTGTACCGCAGATTCCACCAGCCAAGGAATTTCAACTGGTGGGATCCAGGAGAAGAGCTTTTTCATCTATGGCTCCTGCTCTTTGGAACATCTTACCATGGGATAAACATCTGCCCTCTCTCTTTAAGCCTTCAGGGAAAGCCTTAAACCCTGGCCATTCCGGCTGGCATAGGGTCCTGTTGGTTAGAGGAGGTTGGTGCACTAACAGGGAAGGCGGCTTATCGCTCCCCTAAAAGCCCTTGTATTTAGTTTGTTTTAATATTTGCAATTTTAATATGGTTTTGCATTTATAATTGTTGGATGTTTATGTATTTTATATTACTGTACGCTTCTCAGTCATCTCAAATGGCGAGATAGGTGGCAAATAAATTTGATAAATAAATAAATACAAATGTAATGCAGGGCAGGGCAGGGCATATCTTGTCTATTCTTAACCCATTCATACTATTTTGTAGCTCTGCTGCAGTTTGGGGTTTGAATTTGCCTGTTTTCACAAACTGGAATCCAGCTTTTTTTTGCTACCAACCTGCCTTCCATTGTGGACCTGGATACTGCATGAGTCAAAAAGAGGGCTGTGAAAATATTTACAGACCCCTCACATCCTGGACATAAACTGTTTCAACTCCTGCCCTCAAAACGATGCTATAGAGCACTGCACACAAAAACAACTAGACACTAGAACAGTTCTTTCCCCAACGCCATCACTCTGCTAAACAAATAATTCCCTCAACACTGTCAAACTATTCACTAAGTCTGCACTGCTATTAATCTTCTCATCGTTCCCACCACCCATCTCCTTCTACTTATGACTGTATGACTGTAACTTTGTTGCTTGTATCCTTACGATTTATATTGATATTGTTTCCTGATTGCTTATTTGTTCTCTATGACTATCATTAAGTGTTGTACCTTATGATTCTTGATGAACGTATCTTTTCTTTTATGTACATTGAGAGCCTATGCAGCAAGATAAATACCTTGTGTGTCCAATCACAGTTGGCCAATAAAGATCTATTCTATTCTATTCTATTCTATTCTATTCTATTCTATTCTATTCTATTCTATTCCTTACACTTTCGGAAAGAGGGACAGAATTTGCTATGCATGCTGTTCCCATGCTGAAGCATCTAAAGCCAGGGGAAGATGGTGAAATGGTGTCAGCTGATAGCCTTCCCTTTCTTTTTAATAGAAGAGACAGTTCTTTATAAGGATAGGTGATGGGTCTCTGTAGAGATTATGAAATTAGAGAAGGCTGTTTACCATCAAGTAACCTTCTATTCTCCTTCAGGAAACGTTTTAGGAAGAGGATGCTAATCAGCACTATCGCCCTCTTAAGATGCAGAGTGCTTAATTAAATGAGAATAGAAACTCTACCCTTAGCAACCCAATGTACTGCTGGAATCTTGAGAGGAACATTAACAGAGTGTGAAGAGAATGCCAAGTAAGAGTTAAGTATATTTCACAAATGGGCTCTGAGAAGCAGGGGAGCTTTCTCATTGAATGCATTCTCCATCCACCTGATGCCAGCATGCCTGCTGATTGTAATAATCCATGTTATTCATTTGGAAAAAACAGGCTGAATAAGTCTGGGATTTAGTCCTAATAGCTCAAAATGTCAAAAAAAAAAAAAAAAAAAAAAAAGCTCAAATAAGGTCCAGGCAGAAGAAGAACATCATGGCTTCAAAATCTAAGGGACTGCTTTAGACAAAACTCAGCAGCACTTTTTCGTGCGGCTGCTGATAAAATTAGGATCGCCAACATGATCGCCAACATCCGATGACGGAAATGGCACAAGAAGAAGAAGCTCAAAATGGGAAGAAAGGCAGAAACCTGAAGGCAGAAGCATAGCTCCTAGCTTCAGGATTAAGGAGTAGGGAGTAGGGATCAGATTTTGGTGTAAAGGCAGGAAGTATGTGAAGGTAGTATTTGAGGTTCAGTAGAGGTTTAATTTAATTTAATTTAAACAGGGACATGGTGGCTCAGTGGCTAAAACGCTGATCGTTGAATGTTGATCGAAAGGTCGGCAGTTCAGCGGTTCGAATCCCTAATGCTGCATAATGAGATGAGCTCCTGTTACTTGTCCCAGCTTCTGCCAAACTAACAGTTCGAAAGCACATAAAAAATGCCAGTAGAAAAATAGGGTGGGAAGGTAACAGAGTTCCATGCACCCTTGGCGTTTAGTCATCCTGGCCACATGACCATGGAAACGTCTTTGGATAGTGCTGGCTCTTTGGCTTTGAAACGGAGATGAGCACCGCCCCCTAGAATCGGGAACGACTAGTACATATGTGCAAGGGGAACCTTTACCTTACCGTTAGAGGTTTAATTGCCCCAACTGCTGTTCCAGTAGAGCACTGTTTCTCAACCTTGGCAACTTGAAGATATGTAGATTTCAACTCCCAGAATTCCTCAACCAGCCATGGAATTGAAGTCCAGACATCTTCAAGTTGCCACGGTTGAGAAACACTGCAGCAGAGGGATACTTAACAAAGACTTACAAAGGCTAGAAACACAGAATAGACCTATGTGTTTAACTCTTGGCCAGGTGTGCTATTTGTGAAGAGGGGATGAGTTATGCTCTTATTGAGTCTTTGTATTCTATTGCAGTAGGATTCTTCCACTCCAGGCAAAAATGGAGCAAGACTTTCTTTGAATCTGTCCAAACTTTTGCCAACTATAAAGAAAATACCTACAGTACATTTGCACCCAAGTTTATAAAAGGTCCTTCTGTGGGTTGGGTTGCATGGGAATATTGTGGAAACCCCCCCCACCTATTGAAAATGCCTAAGATGTTTCTTGCCCTCATCTGATTCTTCTGCAAGTTTCTCCAATATTTATTACAACAATATAAAGAACAAAGCAGCCCTGGAGAATTGAGAGCGAACAATGCCAATAAGGTAAAAGCTGTTTAATCCTCATAATTTGCTTTAAAAACTGCTGTTCTGGCCAACCCCAAGTCCATTTAAGTCCCTTTAAGCTCTCCACAAGTCCTCAATTTCCTCAAAATGATAAGTTGGACAACTAATATTAGTTCCTGCAATTCTAGGGAAGCGATTGTGACAGCGGTCAGGAGAGGGTTAACTACCCTAATCTGGCAGGGATCGAGTCAGGAAGTTAAGCTCCTCCTCCTGCTGCTCCCTCCAGCTTTCTGACTCGATCTGTGCCGGATCGGATGCACTTAGCCACTTCTCCTGATCGAGTTCTTCTGTTGAAGGAAAATTAGAAATCTTATCTGTTAAAGAGAGTTAGAGATCTTGAGGTGCAGCCAGCAGGAGAGGCTTTGATCTTCTCCTGCTGGGATCGTTAGCAGTCGTTTGGATTGAGGCTGTTGTCACGCCTCTCTCTTCTCCGGCGAGTACGGCTCACGCTCAAATCCGCCGAGGGGAACCTCCTGCAGGTCCCTGGCTGCTCGGCGGCTGAGAATCAATCAGAGGCTTGGATTCCGGCGAGCGGGGCTTTTCTCCGCTCCCGAAGGCACCTCGCAGCAGATTAATTCCTCTGCTGCTTTTCCAGCCGCCCCCCCCCCTGTCAATTAGCAGCCTCTCTTTCTCTCTCTCTCTCTCCCTCGCCTGTTCCAGCCGTGCCGCCTGAGAGACCCGTCTGCGCGCTCTGCGCTGGGGTGATTGACAGCTCCAGATCGAACTTTTTTCCTGGGGCTACGATTGCGGTACTGTACCTGGGCTGACTGGCTTGATTGGGATTTAACGTGGGAGGCCTTTTCCCCTATATTATTGGAGACTAACTGGCGAGGCTTCAGCCGCCATTTGAGCGCCCCTTCTGCCGCCATTTTATTTTGCCTCGTGGCTACTTGAGGCCTTCTTTTCCAAAATGGCCTCTCGTAATTCTAAGACTTCCAAACGCCAGGCCTCTGAGGATCCTGAAGCCGGGCCCTCATCGGCTGCTCCTTCAAAGAAGGCCAAAAAGACTCACTCCTCCAGGGAGGATAAAAAAGCTGCTGATAAGGCCAAGGAAGAATTACGCTTACACCAGGCGATTGAGCGTTCCATCCAGAAGGCCATGAGGGAAGCCTCCATCAGGGATGCCCCGGCTCTGCCTGGTTCTGTGCCACCTCAACCACCCCAGGCCCCTCCACCTCCTCAGGCTCCTCCACCCGAAACCTCTGGAGAGCCATCTCAGGCCTTGCAGCCCCTATCCCCGGATGGGGACCACTCTCTTCCTCCTTTACAAGAGGACGTTTGCGAGGCCCTTTTTGGGCTGCAATCTGCATCACCTCCAACGCAAGGGCAAGCAGCTGCCTCTTCTACCCCCAAGGAGGCTCCAGGACCCGTGGGAGGTATTATGCCTGCTGGCTTTAACATGACGCCAGAATTTCTTAATTTCTTTCAGGCTGCTATACAAAAAGGGGTACAAGCTGAGCTTCAGCGCAGAACCTCTTCCTGGGTGGCGGATTCTGACTATTCTAGGGCTGACCTAGGGGGCTCTCTCTTAGAGGAGGCCCATGCTTCAGCGGGGGCCCAGGTCTCTGGGGCTCCTTCTGTGCACCCATCTGTAGCTGAGGAGGATGGTAGAGACAGGGATCTGTCTGAGGATGAGGACTTAGCACCTGATCAACCGTCCTTTATTGGACTTTTTAAGCCTCATCTTTTCAGGTCATTATTGCACAAGGCCAAATTGACCACCCGCCTGGGGAACACTCCGGTTCCTTCCTCTTCAGGGGACGACACAGGGGCTCCCTTGCCCCTCTTTGAGGTCCCAGAAATAGAAACTGAAGAAATACCAGGGCCAAGACTATTTAAAGACGTATTAAAAAAGCAATGGACAGCTCCTTCATCGGGACCTAATCCCAATCAGCTGGACCGGCGCTTTTACAATCTGGCCCCGGATTTGTCATCACTGCTGCAGATCCCCACAGTTGATCCTCCGGTGGCGGCTCTTACGGCCCAAGCTAACGTTACCGGCCCTCCCGAGGACAACCTCCGTCCGGAGGATAAAAGGCTAGAGCAGTCCCTGGTGAAATCCCATCAGGCCTCGGCCTGGGCAGCTAAATCTGCCATGGCTTCATCCTTTTTTAATAGGGCATCTATCCTATGGATCCGACAATTGCAGGATAGGCTTCCAGTGTCGGATACCAGGTCCCACCAGGATCTGAATAAGATCTTGGCTGCTCTAGAATTCTCCGCTGACGCGACGCTCAATGCGTCTCGCTTTGCGGCAAAATCAATTGGTGCCTCGGTTACCTCCCGGCGCCTTTTCTGGCTTCGCAATTGGCAAGCGGATGCCAGATCGAAGTGGCGTCTCGCCTCGTCCCCCTTTGAGGGCCCTTCTCTCTTCGGGGCCCCATTGGAACCTCTCCTGATAGAAACAAGGGACAAGAAACGTATCCTTCCTAGTGTCTCTAGAAGGTCCGAGTTCCGGCGTTCCTTTCGCCCCTTTGACAACTCCTTCCCAGGGGGGCAGTCTCCTAGAGCATTCCCCCCTCGATCCCGGCCTCCTGATCGCCAGGGATTCCAGCCCCAGAGGGGATTCTCCAGACGCCATCCCCGTGGGGGCCGCGGTCGGCCCTTCCGCAGGTCCCGTTAGCTGCTCGTCCGGTCCTCCCATTGGGGGCCGCCTGGCTCTCTTTGCCAGCCAATGGGAGGCTTCTTCTTCGGACACTTGGGTCCGGGAGACGGTTAGGTGGGGCCTCTCCCTGGAATTTCTCTCCACTCCCCCCGACAGGTTTCTCCGATGTCCCCTTTCCCGGGATCGGCGGAAACGGCTCCTTCTGGCCTCGGCCGTCAAACACCTCCTTGATATTCGGGCCATCGAGCCGGTGCCACAGGAGCAGCACGGACAAGGTTTTTACTCCCGCCTGTTCGTCGTTCAGAAATCCTCGGGGGGCTGGAGAGCCATTCTGGACCTCAAGTCTTTGAACCGCTGGGTCCTCTACCGGCGGTTCAAGATGCAGTCCCTCTCTTCCATCCTGGACGGCATTAGGGTAGGGGACTTCCTCACGTCCGTCGACCTGACGGAAGCCTATCTACATGTCCCCATTCATCCGGCGTATGTCAAATTTCTCCGGTTTTGTCATGCTGGTCGCCATTACCAGTACCGTGCCCTTCCATTCGGCCTCTCCTCGGCCCCCCGGGTCTTTACTAAATTAATGGCCGCTCTTGCGGCATACCTTCGAGCTCGACCAATTCGGATCCAGTGTTATCTAGACGACCTTCTCATCCTCTCGAGCTCGGAGGTGCGGGCACGTCAGGATCTGGACGCCACCCTCCAGGTCCTGGAGGCTCACGGTTTCTCCATCAATTGGGCCAAGAGCCACCTGGTACCTACGACCCGCATCCAACACCTTGGGACTGTCATTGATACGGTCGAGAGCAGGGTCTATCTTTCCGAGGAACGGCTGTCCAGTCTGCGGTCTCTGGCCAGCTCCGTTGCTCAGGGGACCCCAGTCTCCCTGGCAACCCTTTCTCAACTCCTGGGAAAGATGGTCTCATGCATTGGCATTGTGCCTTGGGCCCGTCTCCACTGCAGGTCCCTGCAGTGGTTTCTTCTCCCGTATCAGAAGTCCCGGAATTCGGCTTCAAACATGATTGTTCACCTTAACTCCTCTGTCATCCAGTCCCTCCATTGGTGGTCTTCCGGGGCCCTATCCAAGGGGAGGGAATTCAGGGA